TTTATACACACATAATTAATAAATAAAGAAAAGCTTCTCCTTTAATTTATTATTACTCCATTATTAATTCAATCGTGAATATAACGGAAATTTTCAATTTCGTGCTCTAAATTTAGAGCAAGTTTGAAGAGCACAAAATTTATTTCAAGCCATGAATTTCACGAGATCACAATAAATATAAAATATCCAAATTCTCTAGTATTTTTATTTTATTTTTTTATTTTAGTATTTTTATTTGTATCAGATAATTTGAATAGAAAAACTGACAAGGCCCTGACTAGTTTTTTTCTAAATTAGCCATTGGTTAAAAACAACAAAACACGGACTATTAATAAATGTAAAATATGAATTTATAAACTTAATTTTTCTCAATTTTATCAAAATTCATCAATAATAATATATGTCAACGATCTTTTATTGAAAATTTTCCACTCTATACGTTAATATTCGTTTTGATTAATGACATGACTATTGAGAACGTACATTTATTCTGATTGCAAACAATACTAATTTGCTTTCAATCAAAGTTTGACATTAAGTCACAAAATTTAATCAAACAACCTATGATTTCTCACACGTCACTAAATGCCTACCTCTAATCACCCTGTGGAATACGTGTCAATCAGAAATCCGTTTGTTTCAGTAATAGATTTTCCATATAATCAATTGTTTGTAGAATAATTTTACAATTAAATTCGATTTCTAAATTAATTTTCAAATTAAACGATAAAATATTAAATATTTTTTTCTTTTTAAAGAAAATATATAACCTACACAAAATAATTGAATAAAAAATTGGTATGTACTTTAATAAATTAGAATTGCGTGACAATATTTCATTAATATATTTGTATCAGAATTGAATTGATAATAGTGGAAAAATAGATCATTTTAGTCCCTCTTTTAAGCTCTATTAAGATAATTTTCCTTCTCTATAATATTATAACCGCTCCATATGATTTTATCGTCCTAGATTTTACTTTCTGGAAAAAATTACCATTTTTCAAAATTATTAGATTTTCATTTCGTATTTTCTTTTGACAAAGAGCAAAAAAAATTATTTAAAGCAAAAAAAGATGTTTGGAAGTGAAAGAAGGGGAGAATTTTCAAAAATCCAGGAGAAATATAATAAGAAAGAAGGACTGAGAGGAATAAAATAAGCTTTAAGGAGTAAAAGAACTGTAAACAAGATATTAAGAAATGAGAAAATAGTAAGACGAAAACAGAGTGAATCCTGAAAACAGAGAAGAATGAAATTGTCAAGATAAGAAGGGTTTAAAGAAAAAAATGTGAAGTGGAAACTAAGAAAGCAAAATAAAAAAGGAGAAAACAAAAAGCAAAGGAACTCACAAAAAGGTCAGTGAGTGGGAAATAATGAGACTTTAAATCCTAAACAAGGAATATTTACCTCACCTTTTCAACTGTATAATAAAAAGTAAAATTAATTAATTAACTACTTAATATATTAATTAACTAATAAATTAATTAACTATTTAATTAATTAACTAATAAATTATTTAACTATTTAATTAATTAACTAATAAATTAAAAATTATATGAAAAAATATGTTTCCATGGTTTTAAATTTATGAATATTTTTATAGCTTATAATGAAGAAAAAATGTTGTTTTATATGTGAAAAAAAATTTTTTATCACGATGCCAGAGAGAATATTTAAGAACTGCAAGGCAGTGTGTCTAATTGAAAAAAATGGACAAGCTTTTAGCATTCTTTTTAGCCACTAATTTACAATAAAGACACACGATGTGCGCACCTCTCTGTGTTTACACGAATGTCGTTCAAGTCAACAGGAAGGTATCAAAAATTAATGGTGCCCTAATAAAAGGAACGTCGGCTGGCCTTGCTCCTGATAAAACTGCCTGGCCGACCTTCTCCTGCGCGCGCGATCGATACAACCTCAGGGACGCGGTGCCGATCTGTGAATATTATCAACTTTTCACGATCTTCGAACTTCCGCTCTCGCGTCATACTAACTATTAACTTCCGAAAAGAAACTTTCATCAAACATTGTCCCCTCCCATCATCATCAACTTGTTAACTTGACTTAACATCAAAATTAATATTCTTTTCTAGTACTTACAAATATTTTGAGTAAATATTTCTTCTATTTTTCTTTTTGTATTTTATTTTGTTAAATATATATTTTTGATCATAAATTAACAGATAAATATCGTTTTTATGGTTTAAAAATGAAATGTCAAGTGTCAACGACACTTGACACGAGGCCACGAAATTTCCTTTCCACTTTGTCGAGTAATTTCACGTCCGGAATATAAGAAACTTTTTACCCACCTGATGCGCACGTGTAACGTTTTTAAACACGAATTTGTTGAATTTACGATTTTCTGTTTACAACTTTGGGAAAATAATTTCCTTTATTAATAAAAAAAAGACAAAGTGGAATTACTTTTTTTTACTTTAACATTTTGTTTTTATTGAACCTGATTTGAACTTTTGACAGACCTAATTTTTGTCCAATATAAGACCTAATTTAACTTATGTTGAACCTACTGTAACCAACACTGGAATTTGGTCTATTATCGGACAAAAAAAGGTCTACTATTGGTCAAAAGTAGGTCAAAATAGGTTTAATCTTGGACAAAAAAAGGTGCAACTTTAATGTTACACAGTTTTCTTTATTTTTTCAATATTATAAAAATTTTAAACCCTCTATTTTTTATGTACAATAAATGTAAAATGTAATTGAACATTTCTTTTATATTTTACAGTTATTTTATTTCAAATTTTTTTTTCTTTTTTCTTATCATTTATTTTTTATGATTCTTTTTCTACTGTTTTTTCTTGTTGTACATTGTTTTTCTTTTTTATTCCTATCATTGTTTTCCTTGTTACATTATATTATTTTACCACAATATAATAAGAAGGTTTTTGTGTTTTGATTATTATTCTGTTATTTTACGAGTATTTTCTTCTTTATAGAACTTTTTTTTCTGCGCCCAGTATTGGCTTCTGAAAAACATGTAATTTTCCTTTTATTTTTTTTTTAACTGCGATGAAATACTCCTTTTCTTTTCTTTTTTGCGTTGAAATTTCACTTGATAAAAAATTCTCTATGTAATAGTATCTGTTCTTGTTTGTTCATTTTTTCCATATTTCCACCCTCCTCCCACCCAGCAGCTTCTTTTTTTTACAAGTGATCTTTGTGGATAAGAAAAAATATTGAGTTTCAATTTCAGTGTCTACTTTCGAATTCACTGTGTATTCATCTTTATGTGAAAATAATAGGGGTACTGCATATATATATATACTTCGCGCGCCAACCCTTATTATTTTCCACTTCAATGCTTAATTTTTTAAAGACTTGCAAGTATGTAGATGGTAAAAAATTAACAAGATGGTAAAAAATTTTGAAAAATGAAAATATAAAAAATACCGACACAGAAATCTACCTTACCGACTGATGGTAAAACAGTTTTTTGAAAAATAAAATATAAAAATTACCAACATACAAATCCACCTTACCGATTGAAGGTAAAAAAAATTAAGAAACTTCTAGATATTTTTTACCATCAGTCGGTAAGGGCGATTTCTATGTTGATAATTTTTATATTTTCAGTTTTTGAAACGCTGTTTTACCATCAGTCGGTAAGGTAGATTTCTATATCGGTAATTTTTTATATTTTTCATTGTTCAAAAAACTATTTTACCATCAGTCGGTAAGGTAGATTTCAGTGTCAGTAATTTTATATTTTCATTGTTAAACCATTTTTACCATCTATCGGTAAGGTGAAATAATTCTAATGATCGCGTGGCGATCGCTAATGAAATTTGATTTTGCAAACGCGCATTACAAAGAATAATATTCATTTATTATTATATTGATATATATGAATTTAATTTGTAACATTATTCCTTTTAAATTAAATATTAATATTATACAAATTTTAAAATATAATTAAAAAAATTGTTTTATAACATTTGGGGGTGTTGAAATGTTTCAGAATTTTGCAAATTTAACCTTTTATAAATATAGAATTTCGTGTAATTTTATCACATTCCATATAGTATTTCTTATTAAATAATAATTGAAACAAATTGACATTTTTTATTTCAAAAGTAAATGAAATAGTTTTGTCCAATTCTCTTGTCCACCTGAGAATCAGGAACAATTAAATTTTCAATAAACCAATTTTTTCCCGTGTGCTCACTCTTTTGTTAATTTTCATTCGAGCTTTTAATTTAGAATAGAGCATATTCTTTTTATTCTTCTGATATATTTTGACAAAATAATAGAAAGAAATAATTGTTTTTATTTCCAGTAAAATATAATAGAAAGTAGATTCTAATATTAAGATGAAAGTAAAATTATAGTTCAATGTAGGTTACAGTAAGTTCAACATAGGTCAAAGTAGATCTAATAGAGGACCTACTTCTGTCCATAGTTAGACCTAAGTTTGTTTAATATTAGACCTAATTTGACCTACGTTAAACCTATTGTGATCTACATTGGACCTAAGTAAGACCTACATAGGACCTACTTCAACCAGTATTAAATTTTCTATTGGACTTTGTTTTACCTACTTTGACTTACATTGGACCTACTTTAAACCTAATTTTGACCTATTTTGAACCCATATTTGACCTATTTGGACCTGTACTCTCATCCATATTAAATCCTTACTAGAACTATTGAACGAATTTTGACCTATAATAAACCTACATTTGCACCTACTTTTTACGTGTTTTTTACGACGGACAGACAGACGCAAAAAAAATTTAAGTTTGTTAGCGTTAAAAATAATTTAAAAGTCTCATATTTAGACAAAAGATTTAATTATACACAATTTTCTTTGATTTTATCATTAGGGTCGATTTCAATAATAATTAGGGGAGATAAAATTGAGTTATAGAAACAAAAGGTACCTACGTCGTTCGAATGGTGTTTTAAGACTATATATACATATAATTTTCTAATCGGTGCAAAAGGGGTGCGTGTATACGCAATCGCACGGGCGTCGCGACGCCGGTATATTCAGTATACGGCTGACGCGCCAAGACGCCAGACGTTCGGAGCTTTTACTGCTTGTATATCTGTTCCTCTATAGTCTCTCGTTGTTTATTTTACGATCGTACTAACAAAAAAAAAAAGAAAAAAATTTTATTTTGCCCCAAAATCAATTAATAGTTTTCATCGAAGATAATTCTCTGTTTTTGTGTGCATTAAATATTAGTGAATCTCATTGAAAATAAATAAAAACAAAATTTGTGCTATTATTAACAAAAAGAAAACAAAACAAAAGAATATGTAGAAAAAAAGTGAATTGTTTGTTCTCAACGATTTGGTAATTTTTTTAGCGCACGTTGCAAAATATATTTTTTTTCGTGGGCTTAAAAATTATAATTAACTGTTTTTAAAATTAACACTGAAATATAATTTTTTTATTTAAATTTATATTTATTATTATTTATTTTATTATTAATTTTTTATTTACTTGTTTATTTATTTTATACATTCCCCATATTTTATAGATTATTATTTTTATTATTAGAATTATTTGAAACGATTTCTAAATTAATATTTAAAAGTAAATATAATTTTCAGCATCCAATTATTTTTTAAAAAGAAAAGTTTAAAATAGCAAGGAAGAAAATAAACATTAAGTATATAATAAAAAAAAAATTTTTTTGGTTCAAATAATTGTTGACTGTATAAATTATTAATTAAAAATTTTTTTTTATTTGTTGGTTGAAATGTTTTAGCTTTTTTTTGAAAAGAAATGTTCTTGGTTTGTTTGGTTCAAGTAAAATATTTTTCTATTTAATTAATAGTCAGGTAATCGATTAATTAAACAATTTTTTATGAGTGTAAAATTTCTTATAACTCGCGTATATATGCATTAAAATTTTAATATAAAAAAAAATCTATAACTTATAATAATAAAAAAATTTTCTTGTTTTTCTCCAATTCTTATATTTTTGTTTCGTTTTTTTCTCTTATATTTTCGATATTTACAACACTCGAACAAATATATTTTTAGTTTTTTTTTATTTGATTTTTTTTCTTTTTTTTTGTATTATTAAAGCAGAAAGTTATGAAGATTCTCATGAGAGAAATTCACGACTTTAGTTATAGGCAAACATTCACCCTGTTGCAACTACTATATCCACTTTCATATATAGAAGACCATTTTACGTGAAAATAAAAACATCTCTCCGACCTAAATTTTCTCTATTCTTTAACGATATAGAATTTCGTTAAAACCGGGACAATTTAAATGCATAAAAGTAGAGCAATTTTTTTTTAAATACTGTATTCACCTCAATATAATTATAACCCGTTTTTTTTGTTAATAATTTTAAAAAAATTATTTATTTATTTTTGTTAATAAATGAAAAAAAATTCTAATTTTTTTTGTTTATAATTATAACAGAAAATTATTAATAACGTTTATAAATATTTTATGAAACTGTAATTTATTTATGTATTTTTTGTTATTTAAAAAAAAATTATTAATTTTGTAATTTTTTTTGTTTTTAATTTGGATATTTTAAAAAATTTTACCATGTTAATTAAATTCTATATATAAAGTTAGTTTTAAATTGAATGTCATATTTTTCAATTAAATTTTATTTTACACTTGTTAATTATCAAATCCACTTTTACCTAGCGAAAAATTATAAAAGTAAAATTAATTGACCCGCGGCTTTTATATTTATTAAAAAATATTTACGTCACTATATATCATGATATATAAATTTATATATATTATATAATTTTCCATGACAACAAATATAATCCAGAACTTTGTTGAAAGGCGTCAAACGTTTGTTTGTTGTAATTTAATAGTCAATTAAGCGTCCATTCAAAAGGGCTTTATTTGTTCCCGTTAAATTTGTTTTCACCTGCATATCGAACCGAAACAGACGTCACTTCATTGGAAATAGTATATGTATATATGAAGGAAGAGAAAATATTTAAATATTAAAATTCGCAAAAAAAACAAAATAAATAACAAAAAACGTGACAAAAATGAAACAAATATTACACGTCGGAACAGTAAAAATTTAAAAAAATGTTCCAATTTCATTAAATTATCATATATCAAATTATAATTGTTTGAATAAAAATTTAAAAAAAAATTTTATTTTAAATATATAATTTTAAATTTATTGTTACCTGCAGAAAAAATTTTTTTACCGAAATTATAAAAATTAAAAATTTGCATTATAATAGCCTCGAGCTTGGGAAGTATTATGTTACATTTTGTTTATGTTACTAAAATGTTGTGTAAAATTGTGTTTAGTTTCCATATAGTGTTACCTGTACCTATCTATTCTATATTAATAATTATCACTAACTTGAAAGAATTACAAAATATTAAGTTTAGATAACCATTACATTGTTATTTCTTTTTTTAATAAAAAAATGAAATAATTTTAAATTATTTTGCAAAAGGAACCAATTGTATATTATAATATTATATATTTATAATATTTTATTATTTAACATATTATATTATATATAAAAAAATAGTCTCTAACCTTTGTCTGAAACAGATGATTCATATATTTTGATATCTGCCGGAAACACACACGATTTAAAAAATTTTAAACTATTTTGTTTACACTTTGGTTCACTACATCTAAACAGGTCAATACACGAATTGCAACTGATTAAATTATCTTTAGGAACTGTTTTCAATTCACATTGTTATGACCTTTTGCTTAAGATGCCTTGTATTTATTTGTAATAATAATTATTACAAGTTTAGTAACCGTGTTAAAATATTTATGGTACAGTTATACTATTTTCTATATAGCCACTGTATAATTAAACTATATGGAAACTATACCTAACGTTATACTTATACAACCTAGTTTACAGGCAGAATTACTATTTAGAAACTAACTTGTATATTAGAAAGGTTGACTAAAAAATTTTTCCACGCGGGTATATTTTTTAATTTAAAAAAAAACTAAATCGAATATATATTTTTTTTCCTTAAAAAGTAAATAGAAATTGTCAAGAGATAATGTAACGATTTGCAGTCTATTCAGAGAGCTTATGATAACGTTTTACGAATAGTGACAACTTTGTGAAAGGATAGAGGGAAGTTTTCCGTATTGACAATCTGGGAAATCAAGGCAGTTTCTTGTTTATATTGAATTTCTCAGCAAAAGGAATCTGCAATAGAATTCTGCAGCAGGTGGCAGCGGAAGTGCCGTTTCCCACTAATGGGACTCAAGTTCCTCACAGTCGAGGAGATATGTGGTCAACTATATATACACATATAGAGTGTTTATTTATACACACATACATATATATATTTTTTTCTTTTTATTTATAAAAGAGAAAATGTTAGTCTATATGAAAAATGGAACATCTTATGCAATGTTCAATGGGTTAAAGAAAATTAAAATAGCTATACTGGCTTTGAAAACGTTGCTATACGTTTTCTATCTAAATCCAATTTCCTTCGCCAAATTGACTCACTCGATTTGACTTAAAAGAGAGAAAAATCCGAATCCGAGCCACTGTATAAAATCTTGTCATGACGATTTATATAATTCTTCTCAAACTCCATTTAACAATATATTATATATATATATATATTATAAAAAGAATTTTGCCACTGGTTCCATATGGGTCATTCCACGTCAAGAATAACCAACATAAGATCCATATTTTTGACGTAAAATGATGTGAATGACGTCAAAAGTAGACAAAAGGCTAAAATCACGTCTTTTCACGGGGTAAAAATAGACATTTGGCTAAAGTCACGGCATGAAAATAGACAATTGGTTAAAGCCACGCTATTTTCCTGCGTGAAAATATTCAATCGGCTAAAGTCACGTCTTTTCCCGAAGTGAAAATTGTCAATCGGCTAAAGTCACAGCGTGAAAATAGACAATTGGGTAAATTCACGTCATTTCGTGGCGTAAAAATAGTCAATCGACTAAAGTCACGTCTTTTCACAGCGTGAAAATAGACAATTGGGTAAAGTCACGTCATTTCCCGGCGTGAAAATAGTCAATCGGATAAAGTCATGTCTTTTAACGGCGTGGAAATAGACAATTGGGTAAAGTCACGTCATTTCCAGGCGTGAAAATAGTCAATCGGCTAAAGTCATGTCTTTTTACTGCGTGGAAATAGACAATTGGTTAAAGCCACGTTATTTCCCGGCGTGAAAATAGTCATTCGGCTAAAGTCACGTCTTTTCACGGCGTAAAAATTGACAGTTGACTAAAGTCACGTCTTTTTGTAGCGTGAAATTTGACAATCGGAAATCTAAATTCAATCAAAAAATAATTCGAACAGTTAAAAATTCTATTCAATGAAATTCTATAAAATAAAAATTCAAAGAAATGATCAATTATAACCATTATGCCTTTCAATCAAATTAGATTCAATTTCGGAAAAATTTCAAATTAATTAAATTCTCAAGTGGATGAAATAAAATTGATGATAAAAGTGTGAAGAGGATAAGTTGAAAGTTGTTTTTTTTTGAAAAAATAAAAAAAAATTGTTCTTCCTTGTCGTTGCTGCTTTTAGGACAAAATTGGGATCCAAAGTGCAGCTATCAGGAGTTGGTCAGCTGAAAGCTCGTTGCTGATGGAACAAAGAGCTTCGCTTTCCAGTCTCCTGCTTTTGGAACCCATGCTGTCTTGCTTGCAATGTGCCTAGAAAGCGTCATTAATCTAGCTCACCAGATGGGATTAGACAAAAGGCGTTTGTCTACTGCACCTGTGCTTTAAATTTACTTCATTTTCTCTATTTTTTTCACACCCCTCCCCCCCCCTTTACAAAAAAATTTATATAATTAGTTCTCGCGTCTCTTAGTCATTTCATTTTTAAACGATTAGCTTCTTAATAATTTTGTTTTTCCTTTTTTAAAAAAAAAAATTACACAAGCAGAATAAAAGAATTTTTGTTTTAAATATCACACATTGTAACAGTTATTTTTAAATCGTAAAAATAAAAAAAATTTTATTTCAAAATAGAAAAATATAATTAGGCTCTAAACTTTTGTTTTTGTTTTTTTAGTCAAGATGAAAAAAATTGTCAGTTTAAAATAAAAATTCTTTTTGTTCATTCAAAAGAATTTTAATCGAGATGAAAATCTTTTTTTTTTGTCTTATTACATATAGAATGAATAAGTTTTGTTTTGGGATCATGAATAAAAAGTTTTATTTTACCGAGAGAAAGAGAGAGAGATTATAAATCCTCATTATGTCAAATGAAAAAAACTTTATTTTAAAATCAAGATAAAAATTTTGTTTTTAGAATATAAAGAAAAATTATGTAAAAAATAAATAATATAGTAAAAAAAGAATTCTTAAA